TAAAATATACTTTCATTATTATCAGTAGAGTTTGGAAATGAGGATGGGGGTGCACAAGCTCTGCTCAGGGCTTACTCCTAGCTCTGTCCTCAGGAATCACTCCTGATGGTGCCAGAGTTTCAACCAGGAAGAGCAAATACATGCAAGGCAAGACACTTACCTACTCTATGGTCTCTCTCCTGGACCTATTAAGAAACGTTTAAAGTACTGTTTTTCAGAGTTAGTGTAGCACTGTAGCCCTGTAGCACTGTACTCCCATTGTTCATCCATTTGCTCGAGCGGGCACCAGTAATGTCTCACTACAAATTGTGAGACTTGTTGTTACTATTTTTGGCATATCAAATACATCACGGGTAGTTTGCCAGGCTTTGCCAAGCGGGGGAGATACTCTCGGTAGCTTGTGGGGCTCTTTGAGAGGGGCAGAGAAATAGAACCCTGGTAGGTCATGTGCAAATAAACGCCCTACCTGCTGTGCTATCGCTCCAGCCCCAGAGTTAGTGTAGAAAGAGTTCAGAAGTGAAGTGCCATTACCCAGAAAAAATGCTGTTACCTTGCTGCTGAGCCTCTGATATTCGAGTGTCCACAGATGGAGAATTCAGAGCTTGCAAGAAGCATCTTTGCCAGTTGTCCTCATTTTGTGGTTCAAAACACTTTATCAGCTTTTGTGTTGGGGATGGAGGCTTTGGAATTCCTTTATCAGACCTTCAAAAGCTGCTAAAAGCCAGAGTATTCTAAAAAAAAAAAAAACCCAGAGTAGTCTAACTTTATTTTAACAAACATAAATTCACTAGAACTTTCTTGGGTCAGATTTCTGGATCTCTCTTGAACGTGTTACACACACCCCCCCGCTCCCCCTCCCGGAAATGCAGGAAAGACCAGGAATATTGCAAGCCTGCTCCAAGGTGAAGGACAGACCAGCTTCCTGTCAGAGCAAAGTGTAGTACTGCAGCTCTGTGGGTATCTGGGAGATAGAGGGGGTTTCTTTTGTTGGGGGTAGGGTGGGGTGTGCGCGCCCCCTACTCGGGGCTAACCCCTGCTCTGTAGTCAGGGATCAGTCCTGAGAAAAAGGTAGATGGGTCACAGCTTCTGTCTAGTTAGTTCCCTATTGCAAACTCAAGCCAGGCGTTGGCTTTTTGCCGCATCAGCTGCACAAGATCTTCCAAGCTTAGGAGAGTTCCCTTCCTCGGGTAATTCTGGGAGCCCCCCACCTTTCTCGGGGTCCCCCAATATGCACTAATATTTGGAACTGATGAAGGGAGCTTGAGTGCCAAACAGAAGCTGATTTCCACCCGATTTCGGCAGTACTTGGGAACCTTAAATCAGTCCGTTTCCGCCGCCGTTTCCCGTTCCTTAAGCTGGGTCTGACTTTCCCTTTGGCTGAATTTCCTGCAAAGTTGGAGGCAGGTTTCTCCCTGCACTGCCCGGGGACTGCGGGGCGGGAGCGAGGACCGCGCCCAGAAGCCCCTCCCCGCGCCGCGGAGACTTTGGCAGAAACGACTTTCAAAGAGTCCCTGATCTCTGGAGTGTGTGTCACACACCTGCGCCCAAGTGCAAACGTCTAGATCCTTAAACAATGGACAAAGAAATAGAAAATGTTTTAGAATGCGAGAGGAGAAAGGACCGAGGGAAAGCGGGAGCCGGGCTAAAGAAAGGTGACTGTCCAAAAAAATAACCTGCAAACATCTTCCTTGTAGACGCCGGGTGTATCTCGCAATTTTCAAACCGAATCAGGGAAAAATTCAAACTCTGCTCAGAGGCGGCAGATCCCCCCTTGGGAGTTCAGGGATCTTGGAACAGCGACTTGGGTAAGCCACAGGTTGCCTATAGCGCTAAAGACAACGCCTTGAAGGAACCACCCTCGTTTTTTCTTTTTTTCTTTTTTTTTTTGTTTTTTGTTTTGTTTTTTTCCTTTCTCCCTTGCGTGTGCTCCCGGAGCAGAATTTTAAAAAGGAGAGGCTGCCTGCAATTGGAAACGTTTCTTTCTGCCTTCCTCCCCCTGTCATCCCATCAACGGTTCTAATCTTGCCCCGCTTCCCCAAGATAGCAGGAAAACCATTTCCTGTCACACACCCCCACTCGCAACCACACACGTCCTCTGCATCCTGGTCAACGCCCCCACCTAGTGGTTTGGGCTTGCTTGCATCGCTTTCCTCCGCTGTGGTTTCTAAGAGCAGTATGCACAATCAGAAGTCTGTCAAGGTGCCTACTGGGGGTGGCAGGATGAGCAGATGCCCTGGAATTTAGTGCATCAATGACGCCCCTAGTTACCAAATCAGTGCTGTGCTTAGCTGGTGTTTTCGTCCAGAGGTGGATGTTAACACATTTAGGGTCCTCTTTGAAGAGTCTGCCCTTGGTTAAAGAAGTACCCCCATTCTCAATACATAAATGTCTTTTTTATTTCCTTATAAACCACACCACTGAATATATTAATTACTTGTTCAGGTGCTTATTTTCTCTGTGCTTCTTCCAGAATGGCATCTGATTGAGAGCTGAATCTGGATTAAGGTGTCTAATACTTAGAAAATTTATAGAAACTGTATTTTTGCCTGTCTCGTTTTAGAGTTAGGAAGTAAGGGAACTTGGATGAGGTTGTATCAGCTTGGGTAACAATCTCTTCTTTCAAAGAACCTCTGATATTCTTCTAAAACTGAATGGATGGACCCACTAATCTCCAGAGGTTCTTGATGGAATCATTCCCTTTAATACATGCTTACACTTGTAATTTTTCATTTGTTTTTTATTTGGGGGGGGGACCACACCAGTTGGGTTCAGGGGCTACACTGATTCTGTGCTCAGGGTCCATCCCTGGCAGAGTCAGGGTGACCCTTACCGCATTCTAGAGATCAACCCAGGTCAGCTGTATGCAAGGCAAGCGTCTTAACCCCTATCCAGCACAACACTTTTTAATTTTAAAATTGGATACATTTTATCTGCCCAACATTGATCTGTGGGCTAGGATCTCACAGTTGGAACTGTATAACTTGAAGGGATCACCCAGAAAAATCCTTTCCTGGTTCTTCCTGATTTCTATTTCTCCTCTATATTTGTTTTTGGAAAAGGCTAGAAAAAAAAGGATATCTGCAGTGGGAGTAGGGGGATTCCAACAAGATACTGGCATGATTTTGTGCTGCAACTGACATGATGTGTTTGTGAAGGTAAGTAGATGATGCATTGATGATGGTCCCTGACATTTTTCTTGTTGAGTTCTGATGACCTCCTTTCTAAAAGGTACAAGCACACAGAGAACCGTTTTCTAGAGGCACTAGAACAGCTGAGCAGCTGTAGCAAAGGGTGCAGGGAAGATTTAATTCCATATACACCGGGCTTGTATTTGTAATATTTTTTTTTTTTGCAGACAGCTTTTTATTTCCTGTGGAGTCAGTTAAAGAGGAGGAACTGAATGAGGAGGATAGCTCCCCCAAATCAGATATATATATATATATACATCTGATTTATATATATATATACACACACATATATATATGTGTGTATATATATATACACACACACACACATATATATATATAATTCAGTTTGTATTGTATCAAGAGCTAAGTACGACTCGAAGCCTGAAGTATAAAACGCACTACTGACGGTTTCCTTCTCAAACGTTACTGCTGAAGTATAACTGGCCTCTCCTTTGAACCTGGGTGTGGCCCAAAGGAGTGGATAAAATTCCAGGAGACAGAGACAGAGAGGTCAGAAGCTGGGACAAGCTCCCCAGCTTGCTGCAGAAGGGCTGTCTGGTAGGAGTCTAGGAAAGGGGGCGAGAGAGCTGTGCCTGCTCCCGAGCGCGTTGATGTGGCTGCAAGAACGGCTTTGCCAAAGCTCCCAGGAGGACAGCAGCGAGAACAGGACACCCTCATCCTCGCTCGCGACCCAGCTGCAGAGCCGGGCGGTCCGGCCCGAGAGGGGCCAGGGGCCGGGCGGCGGAGGTGTGGAAGGGCGGTAGGACCCGGCGGGAGCTTCCAGGCGGGGAGTGGGGCGGGCAGGAGAGCGGGCGCGGGAAGGTGGTCGGGAGCGGGCGCCGCATCCCCGCGCAGCACGAGGTGCGGGGCCCGGGCGGACGGACCTGGCTTCTATAAAAGGCGCCCATCTGCTCCGCAGCAGCTCACACGCTCCTCCCGGGCCGGCGCACACCGCGTCCCACCCCTCCATCCCCCCTTGCACCCGCCCCCCAACCTCCCCCCTCCCACCTGCCCAGACTCCTTGCAACGCGCCCCGCTTTCCGGGACCCGTGCGCCCTTTTGGGGGGCTCCTAGCTGCGCCGCCGCAGCCCACCCACCCCGCGCCCCCAGCCCCCCGAAACCCCCCGCTCCAAGCGACTTGGTCTCGGCTGGGCTGCGCGCCCCGAGGGGCCAGGAGTGGAAAGCGGGGCGGGCGGAGCCCGGGACTTGGCCGTCCTGGGCGCGGGGCGGTCGCAGCCCCGGACCGGACACTTGGCACCCTGCGTGGGGAGGGGGCGGGCGAACAGCCTGGAAGCTTTTTTTTTGGGGGGGGGGGGGGTCGGGCCAGCTGGGCAACTCGTGCGTGCGCGCGGAAATCTGCAGAATCCCGGAGCGCCGGGGTTTAAGAGACGCTCCAGCCCCGAGCGAGCCGCTGGGGTAAGAGACCCTTGCACCTGGCCGCCGCCCCCCTGCATCACACCGCACCGCACCGCACCGCAACGCAACGCACCGCCCCGCACCCGGGGCGCCCGCACCCGCCGCCTGGGGGTGCGGCGGGGCGAGTCCGGGGCGTGGAGCGCGGCAGCCCCGAGACTCCGCCGCGCCCGGCGCGCGCGCGGCTGCTCGAGTGGGAGACGCGCTCCCGGGGCCGACCCGGGGCCGCCGCGCCCTTGACCTCGCGTCGCCGCCGCCGCCGGGGATCCTCGGGGATGCGGAGGTGCCCGGGGCAGCCGCGGGGCTGACTCGAGAGACCCCCGCTCCCAGCGGGGCGGCGGCTCCGTCCGGGCGTTCCATGCCCCAGCGCTGCGCTCGGGAGCCGGGACGCGGCGAGACATGGAGGAGACGTGGGGCGCCCCGTGCGCCCCGCCGCCGTCCGCCGGCGCCCCTCGCCCGGCGGCGGCGGCGGTGGCGGCGCCCCCCGGCAACCTCTCGGGCGCCCCAGCTCAGAACTGCAGCCAGGAGGGCTACATCTACCAGGACTCCCTGAGCCTGCCCTGGAAAGTGCTGCTGATCGCGCTGCTGGCGCTCATCACCCTGGCCACCACGCTCTCCAACGCGTTCGTCATCGCCACCGTGTACCGCACGCGGAAGCTGCACACGCCGGCCAACTACCTGATCGCCTCGCTGGCGGTCACCGACCTGCTGGTCTCCATCCTGGTGATGCCCATCAGCACCATGTACACGGTCACCGGCCGCTGGACGCTGGGCCAGGTGGTCTGCGACTTGTGGCTGTCTTCGGACATCACCTGTTGCACCGCGTCCATCCTGCACCTGTGCGTCATCGCCCTGGACCGCTACTGGGCCATCACGGACGCCGTGGAGTACTCGGCCAAGAGGACTCCGCAGAGGGCGGCGCTCATGATCGTGCTCGTCTGGGTCTTCGCCATCTCCATCTCGCTGCCGCCCTTCTTCTGGCGCCAGGCCAAGGCCGAGGAGGAGGTGTGGGACTGCGTGGTGAACACCGACCACGTCCTCTACACCGTCTACTCCACGGTGGGTGCCTTCTACTTCCCGACCCTGCTCCTCATCGCCCTCTACGGCCGCATCTACGTGGAGGCCCGCTCGCGCATCCTCAAGCAGACGCCCAACAGGACCGGCAAGCGGCTGACCCGCGCGCAGCTCATCACCGACTCCCCCGGGTCCACGTCGTCGGTCACGTCCATGAACTCGAGGGCCGCTCCCGACGTGTCCAGCGAGTCCGGCTCGCCCGTGTACGTGAACCAAGTCAAGGTGCGCGTCTCCGACGCCCTGCTGGAGAAGAAGAAGCTGATGGCCGCTAGGGAGCGCAAGGCCACCAAGACCCTGGGCATCATCTTGGGCGCGTTCATCGTGTGCTGGCTGCCCTTCTTCATCATCTCCCTGGTGATGCCTATTTGCAAGGATGCCTGCTGGTTCCACCTGGCCATCTTCGACTTCTTCAATTGGCTGGGCTATCTCAACTCCCTCATCAACCCCATCATCTATACCATGTCCAATGAGGACTTCAAGCAGGCGTTCCATAAACTCATACGTTTTAAGGGCACGAGTTGACTCTTGCCCCGTGCACTGGGGTCCGCCCGGGCGGCCCTTGGGGATCATATTGTGTCTGGTTCCACAGGTAGGTCGGCTCTTCTTTCGCTTGCTGGGTTGAAAGGAGGTTTCCTCTCTTTTCTGGGCAAGGTCGGTGGATCTTGAGAAGAAGCCAGGAGCATCCCGAGACAAACGCACGCGCGGACATACACACGCATGCACGCACGCACACAAGTACACACACACGTACAGGGCTATGGAAGAAGTGCTCAAACTACAGCTAGGATTTCCCAGTTGAGGAGGAGGTCCACACTTCTCAACTCTAACCCCAGGTTTGCAGTCACCCTGCAGCGGCCAATCCCCAGGGAGCTTTGCAACTTTTCAAAAGCATTGTTGGAAGGATGGATCCCAGCTCTGTCTTAGTGTCATTGAGGACGCCCTCTCCTACCAATGGCACTTGTAATTCTTGTCAAAAGCCTAGATAGATCTACGTGCAGCCTGACAGTACTTGAACTAGACACTAAGTACCCTGTATTTTGGGGAGAACTTTGCGTTCCCGCTTCATTTAAGAACAGCACTTTGGCATCCTTCAGTCTTCAGTTTTTTTTTTTAAATTCTTGGTTGGAGAAACTTGTGGATTTGGTGCTTCAAACCTTAAGTGTGGCTTAGGGGGTGCAGAGAAACCTTGAAGAGTTAACAGCAACATTCTGATGTTAAGATCTCTATTTTTGTTATCATTGAAACTATATGGGGTGGGAGGGGACAGAGAATCAACACCTATGATCGTTTGTTTTCTGCAGATTTGTAATTTTTTATTCCTATTTAGCAATTATCCGACCCCATTTATAACAACTCAAGCAAGACATTACGTGTGCAAGTGCCAAAGTCTGCGGATTGTTTTATATTTTCCTCCAAATTTCATGTTCCATCATGTTTTACACATTTAAATCCCCATAAATAGAGGATATGATGGGTGACTCAGCCCAATCTGCTGCTATCTTTCTTATTAATATATTCGATTAAGCTGATGAGTATTAGACATGTACTGCTCCTTTAGTAGAAAAGTATCTTTATTCTTTTGCTAATTCAGCAAGACTTCAAAGAGAAAGATAAAATAAGTATGGGGCTTATGCTATTAATGAATGGGGGCAAGAGAAGGGTGTATATTTTTAACTTGTAAAAAAATCTTAAGTGCATGAAACTTTTTCTGATAGTCATTTGCACTTCCCTCCACATCTGTAATTCCTTTGTGTGCTAACATATATACGAGAGAACTAACTGCTTCCTCCAAAAATCTTCAAAATGTAAAAACTCTAAAAACTATATAAGAGGGGAGAGGGAGTGTTTCTTTTCCCTTGCTATCAAAGTTTGAGCAGGAACAAAGGTTGTTAAAAAGATCATTGAAGGACTTTTTTAAAAAGCTTAGGGATGGTACAATTGAGACTGTTTTCCTTGTAGATCACAGCACCGAACCTGAAACTTACGAGGCAATCAGGAAACTTATAGAGCTTTGAATCTTGGAAGTGTGACACTGACCTTGTCATCCTCCAAATATTAGAAATATAACATCAGAAATACTTTAATTTTTTTGGTCTTTACAATACTTAATTATTACCTCAAATGCGCTGTGGAAACGCCCCAACACAGGTCAAGGCTATAGTAAAACATAAAAAAAAAAACACAGTATCTCAATAAAAAGTAGTCTGAATATGCGCAGAAATAAATATGTGGAACGTTTAATATGCCAAAGAAGATTCACACCCCATTCTTCAGACAGTTTTTTGCAGTTGAGACCTTTCTCTGCAGAAGCAAGTTGTCTTTGTAAAATGGATTCACTCCCTGCTTGAAGCTCCCCAGTCTAGACTGTCAGACAATAGATGTATTGAGCTGAAGTATACCGCATGCCTACTCTGCAGACCTTCACTCTGAGGTAATGACTCTTGAAAATATGCTATTCAGAGGTTCACTTGTAAACTAAGTAAAAAGAATTTGATCCACATTTGATGCCTGTCACTGGAGTAAGATAAAATTTCTGGCATTAGTAGACCTATATTTCTGCTGTATTCCCAACTTTGTTTTCTGTGACATTTCTCCTATGGAGAAATAGCTTGCTACTGATTGGAATGTGCATTGAGCACGGTATTAGTTTTTATGTTATCAATATGTTTGTCTTTTGTTTCTGCAGCTGTGTTTTCTTTTCACCTAAGAAGCAATTAAGTCAGCTTCTAAAGCCTGAGGGGGGGGGATTAATTGAAATAAATAGCCACTTATAAATGATTTCTTCATAGGGCACCTACAATTATTGTGTCCTCATGTAACAAAATATGTTCAATTTAGTCAAATGGGTTTTAAATTAGATTTTGTAGATTAACTACTTAAATATTTGCTTGATTATTTGGCTGAATTGACTGGATTTGGGCATATTGTGTGAAGTAGAAGCTTGCAAAACCTTGTAGTTATAAGCAATCTAGAATCATCATCCAGCAATGCACATGATTATGCAAAATGCGTTTTCTTCACACGGGTATGAAGTTGCTAAGACTGTTAAACTTTTCAGTTATGGCTACCTATAGCATAGTTTTATTTCATAAAGTAGATATGTGGCATTTTTTTTCACAACCTAAAATGGAAGATGGAAATGTTTAATTTACATAGAAATGGAAATATATTTTCATTGACTGTGGTAACAAATCATATTTACCATATTGTTTAATTGCACACAATTTCACACAAATATAAGAATGTATACACTCATCCCCAAATACCAATAAACTGTCTTGTGTTTCTAGGAATTTTAGAGTTTCCTTTAGAAAAAATAAATGAACACTGTACCTATAAATGAATGGTTATTGCATTCAGTAAATTTGCTATGGGACAAGAATTTTCACTCTTACTCTCTGTTGTCTTAGTTTTATCTTCTTTAACTAGGATATCTTGAGAGGACCATAATTCGCTCCAGCAGTAAAATATCAGATTATGTGTATTTGATGAAGTTGCTGTGACTGAAAATTGCCTTTGGTATTCTACTGTTCAACAAATGTGTAACTGGAAATTAAATTTAAGGAAATAATGAAATAAAGTCCCTTTTGTGTTCCGAAAAGCATTGGCTATTTATTTCATTATTATAGAACGACCATATTCATTAGATTCTGGGTTTGATTTAGAAATTGTGCCTTCCAGAGAGAATATTCAATGACAGATGACACCATGATAGACTGTTATGCACTGCAAGCATGGGAAGGGGGGGGATTTACTTTGTTAGGAAATTTTGGGATGAATTAGAGTGTGCTCTTGGGTTTTTTTTCCCTGTGTCTGGTTTTTTTTTGTTTCTTATAAAGAGGGTAAATCTGATCTACTATGACAAATTCTGCAGGTCAGCTTTCCCAAAGGACTTGCTTAGCCTGTGGGACAGGTAGTGAATTGCACTGGTTTATGTGCTGCTAGATAAACACAAGTAGGAAAAATAGCAGCAGGCTAGAAGCCGGCCTTGAGTGTTGAAGGTTCCAAGCCTTTCACACCTATCGTAGGCAGGAGACACAGAGCCCAAAGGTTAAAATGGAGCACATGATGGTTTGCAACGGCTCAGATGGCTAGCAGGAAATTGCCAAATATTTCATTTCCTAGACCATCTTATTAACTTTACAGCTCGCTTCTTCCTTTCCCTTGTCTAGAGATTTCCAGCTGTCTTCTCAGAGTTTAAATTTCCTTGGTATATTCACATTTTACCTCAGTGTCTTATATTCTGATTCTCTGCTTATTTTCAAAGTCAAGTGAATCAATGATTAGTGCCAATCTAAGGTGGTTTTTTATTTGAATTGTGGAGAGTTGATTAGCTATTCCAGAATTTTATAACCTAGGAGATAAAATTGTTGGTTGGTTTAAATTAATGGGTATGTGGTGGGGCAAAGATTTTGAATTGGTGTTGGTTGACTGGCTAGAGTTTTCAGAAGGGAAAGTACTTCTAGGGGAAGGATGTGAGAAGCAAAGCTTTCGCAACTTTTATCAAAGCCCATCTTTGATCAGTCCACCAGGGGGCAGAGTGCCTCTGAGCACCCAGGAGGATTCAGGTGCTACCATTCAGGTTTACCCTCTCATCTCCAAATCCCTCCTTTTTTCCTGGACCTACAAAGGGTATCATCTTTTTAAAACTCAGTGAAAAGGCAGCATTAACACTAGGGGTGTTAATTATTTAGAAGAAGAGATTTTTCAAGACTGCAGATTCAGGCAGAGGATCTCTCTCTCTCTCTCTCTCTCTCTCTCTCTCTCTCTCTCTGTATCTCTGTCTCTGTGTCTCTGTCTCTGTCTCCCTCTCTCTTTCTCTCTCTCTCTCTCTCTCACACACACACACAAAACAACCAACCCTGAAGTTTTCTGGCTTATTTATTCTAAATCATTGTATTCACATCTTGTCTTGAAAAATACAGAAGTCTTAGTTTATATAAAAATTGTTGCTTTTCATATAAACATCACTGGGTCAAGTCAGAGGTTAGAAGACAAAGAATTTATTCACAATAAAGTGAGTCAGTTAGGCACTCACTGTAGCACTGTCCTCCCATTGTTCATCGATTTGCTTGTGCGGGCACCAGTAACGTCTCCATTGTGAGATTTGTTGTTACTGTTTTTGGCATATCTAGTACATCACAGGTGACTTGCCAGGCTTTGCTGTGTGGGCGGGATACTTTCAGTAGGTTGCTGGGCTCTCTGAGAGGGGCGGAGGAATCGAACCTGGGTCGGCTGCGTACAAGGCAAACACCCTACCAGCTGTGCTATCGCTCCAATCAGTTAGGCAATCAAACTTATATTTTCCTATTGTGATTTGAGGAAAGAGGGATTGGATCTCACTCAGTAGTGCTCAGGCGCTCTTCCTGACTCTGTGCTCAGGAGTGGCCATTGGTGCCAGTCAGGGACCATCTATGGTTCCAGGAATCCTGATGGGATCGGCAACATGCAAGGCAAGTGCATTATCTATTGCATTATCTCTATGGACTCCTTCCTTATTTTTTAAATCATTAAAAAAAATTAATTGTTTGCAATTGATCTATCTGCACCCGGAGGTATAACATTTGTCTTTTTTCATTAAAATATAGGTCTTCTTAA